GGGAGGGAGGAAGGAAGGAAGGAAAGCAAACCGGTCACCCAAATGGGGAGGCAGTGTCAGGGTAGAAAAAGCAGGGCTCTCTGCTCAGTCTGGAGATGAGATCACACCCCTTAACCCTAGACAAGTTAAAAGATCACGGTAGGGCTCACATCCCTTATCTGGAAATACGAGGCCTCATATAGGCTTGCATTAAACAAAGATGCATGGCGCAGGGCGCACCACCTAGAGAATTTTCATAAATGGTGGTTGTTGCTGATACAACCCCCCACCAACACACACACACACACACACACACACACACACAAAGAAAAGTAATAGTTAATGTGCATCAAGTAAATCCATCATGTAAGGAACCCAGGCTAAACCTGGATAGCATCCAATCCTCACAGTATCTTATGACAATAATTTTCAGTCAGGATTATTGAAAACCAACAGAAACCGGCAAATTTAAGCAAAAAAACAAAACAGAACTATTCAAAGAATATTGGATACTTATGGAAGAATCTCTGGGAGGGCTAGAGAGCCAGGCTTGAATGCTTTGAAGCCAAAATTCAAGCCCACAGTTAGGCCCCAGGAGAAAGAACAGCCATCACAGCGCTATTAATTGTTGAGCACAGTCACTTCAGCACTGATGCTAGATGGCTGTCACTGGTGCTTTGGAGACTGGCATGGGTTGTGGCCACTTCCTCCACCCTCATCAAAATGATTTCAGCAACGTCTCTATTTTTTATCTACACTAGCTTCTGATTCAAAGTCTTGGGTCTGTATATCTGATTTTTTTTTTTTTTTTGGTGGGGGAGTGGGAGGTGTTCTAGGTCTTAGATCCACACTCTAGCTACAAGGGATACTGGGACAATGAGATTCTTGGATTTTCAACTTCTATAGTGGAAGCTGGGCTCTGCCTCATTAGGATAGTTATTGCCTGAATCTAGGAAGGGAATTCAGATAATAAGTATCCTAAAAGATTTGTAAATATCTTCCACAGATGGGTTCTACGGTTTTTACCATTTTCTGGATGAGAACACTGAGGCTTAGCCAAGGCAGCATGTCTAAGCCATGGTGTGAACCCAAGCCCATCTCCCTCAGGCCTGTTCTCTTGGCCACTGTCTTGACCCCGGTCTTGACAAATGTAATGACTAGAACAATGTCCACCTCAGCAAAGCCTCCCACACGCCAACCCCATTTCTCTGACTCATTAAAGCTGGGTCTGCTGGGAGCTGAAGGTTCACTGTCTATTTTTTAGCAGCTCCTTTTAGAGGAAGACTATTCTCCAGACTCAACAGCCATGAAATTTGTCCTTGGAATGTAGCCCTGGAAGCTGGGATCTCTAGACTGGCCCCTTTCATCCTGGAATGTTGTGTCTCTGTGAATCTCTATAGTACTATTCTAAAGGGTCAGTGTGGGACATTGATGAGGTTCTTTCTCTAACACAAAGCCCCACTCAATATAGCAAGGTAAAAGAGAACCTTCTCTGGGCACTGTCCACATCACTGAGAGTTTTGTATTCCATTACATGTAATTATTGCATTAATTATTTTATAGTAGTATGCGCCTCACTTACGCACCAAAGCTCTCCAAGACCAAGATCTATCTGTTTTGCTCGGTGGTTAAGAGCTCGGCTGCTAACCAAAATGCCGGCAGTTCAAAGCCACCAGTCACTCCTTGGAGACCCTAACGGGCAGTTCTACTCTCTCCTATATGGTCTCTATGAGTTGGAATCGACTCGACAGCAACTGTTTTTTTTTTTTTTTTTTTTTTTTTTTACCATAGTGGGATTACCTGGGTGGTGCAGACAGTTAAAGCGCTTGACTGCTAACAGAAAGTTTGGCAGTTCAAGTCTACCCAGAGTTGCCTCGGAAGAAAGACCTCGTGGTCTACTTCCAAAAAAATCAGCCATTGAAAACCCTGTGGAACACAGTTCAACTCCGACACACATGTGGTTGCCAAAAATCGTAGTCAACCCAATGGCAACTGTTACCATGGTGAACTCAGGAGTCAGACTCTATGGGTTTAAATCTGGGCTCTACCACTTAACTATATATCCTTAGCTAACCTGCCTGTGTCTCAACTTCCTCTTTTGTAAAAGCAGGACAATAAAAGAGAATGTTGTGAGAATGAGAGTTTAAATGTGCTTGACATATAACAGGTGTTCTGTAAATATCATCATCATCACCAGAACACTTAGAATCTAGTACAGACTAACAACATACACAGTGGCTCTATGAGAGTTCAAGCATCGTCCTCTTGGTTACTCCCTCCCTTCACTTCTTTCCTCTTATGTAATTCAGTTCACAAAGTTTGAAATCCACTGATCTAGTCCAAACCAGTCATTTTCCAGAAGAAAGACTAAAGTATATGAGGGAAATGAAGTCCAAAGCAAGCTGGGGTTGAACTCGCAGCTCAGTGTTATTAACAACAGAGCTTCCCAGTCCCCACCACTGTATGCTTAAAATTCAGTTCTTTTCTAAGAAATGGTGAACTATGCCATAATTTTCACCTCTTCTCTGCATCTAGTTCCAAACAATCAAGAGCATCAAGTACTTCAAAGCCATGAACCATGGGGTGGCAAACTTTTTCTGCAAAGGGCCAGAAAGTAAATATTTAAGCTCTGTGAGACCTGTTGATGCAGTGGTTAAGAGGTATGGCTGCTAACCAAAAGGTGGATAGTTCGAATCCACCAGCCACTCCTTGGAAACCCTATGGGGCACTTCTACTCTGTCCTATAGGGTGGCTATGAGTCGGAATCTACTCGAAGGCAATAGGTTTGGGTTTTTTTGGTAAGCCATACGGTCTCTGTCACAACTACTCAACTCTGTTGTTGTAGCAGGAAAGCAACCTTAGATCATATATAAACAAACGAATGTGGCTGTGTTCCAACAAAATTTTATCAGCAAAAACAGGCAGTGGGCCAGTTTTGGCCTGTAGGCCACAGTTTGTGGACCCCTTCCATGACTATGAATTTCCACCTGTAAGAAGCTTCCTCATTTTTGTTTACTGTTGCATAGTTCTGAAGCCACACAGAACACGGATGTCAGGTCCTTTTGAAGCTCTACATCCCTTTTCAGTCTCCATCCACATTCTACCTTCTTCCCAGAAGCACTTAACTCCCTGCCTTAGTTCTAGTGAAATAGGCAGATACTCTCCAGCATGGTCTAGGAGTGAGGGTGGGTGTCATGAGTATGACAGCGAACATAGGATTTGGTTCAAGTAGAGGCCATAATTATGAGAAATCTTCACACATATCATCTCAGAAATCATGCAACTGAGGGCTCTTAGAGACAACCTAACCCAATCCTTTCAATTTACAGGAGGTAAAACTGAGGCTCAGACTAGGGAAGCCACTTGGCCGACTATATACTGCAAGTTCTCAGTAAACCTGGGATGAGAGCTTGGTTTTCTTTATTTTAGCCTAAGGCTCTTTCTGCCATGTCATAGACTAAAATCAAGCTTCTACTATGAATCACACTCAAATCAACAGAAGAGAGAAACAAAATCTGCCTTTTGAAAACCCAAGGCCCTGCCTGGAAACTCCCTTGTCCTTCCTATCTCTGTGTCATGTCCCCCTTTCTTCCATCCACACCCATTTACTGAACACCTCTATTGTGCTGCTCAGTCCTTGTTTGGGGCCAAGCCAGACAGTAGGTGCTCAATATATGTGTATTGAGAAGTACTAAAAGGTAAATATGCATGGCCTTAACCCTCATGGAGCTCATGATCTACCAGGAGAAACGTTTAAACACACCGTGTAATGCACTGCAGATGTGAGGATGTGATGACTGCTTCTCCCCTTCAGTCCTCCTAGAAAATTGCCTTTCAGTGAGAAATCTTCCCACCAATGTTTTCATCCCCATTTCCCCTCCGTAGCTGCCCTTTCCCTCTTCAGATAGAGCACCTCTGTGTTTTGTACTTGCAAATGAATTGTGATTAGTTTTCACCTCCAGCCCAGGGGATTAGCTGAGGGACCTTTGATCTTCAGGTATCGATTTGCATCTTAAAGGAAGTATGATCTCATCTGGGCAAGCTCAAAATTCCACCCCTGCCCCCCAGCCCCTGTCTGTTTACCAGCCCCGGGCTGGCGCAGGCCTCCCAAGTGGGGCTGAAACCACAAGATCCGCCAGACTCGGAGAGAAGGCAGGGGAAAACAAATCTCCCATCTGACTCACTAAAGGTGGGAAAAGGACATTTGTTTTCTAAACACAGGCTAGTCTGTTAGTCCTCCTCCCTCACTCGGAGAGACTGCCCAAGGTGCTGAGTCTGCAGAGGGGACCACAGAGCTGGATTCCTGGGTCCTAGATAGAGGTTGTGTGGCAAAATGGACTGAACACACACTTAAGAAACAGACAAAATCAGGTTCAAGTCCTGCTTCTGTCTTCCATCACTTTTGACCTGTGTGACTCCGAACAAGTTTTATAATCTCTCTGGCTTTTGATTTTTTCATCTCTAAAGTAAGAATAAAAGCCTTTAAAATCTATACTAATATTAGTCCTGGATAGATGGTGTGAGGAACAGCAATAATGTATGTAAAATAAAGCTTGAGTTACCTGTCATTACCATCATTTGTGAGAATATAAATTCCATGAGGGCAGGGTTATCTGCTGGTTTTTTTTTTTTTTAAACATCATTATATTCCCTGGTGTCTAAAATAGTGCCTGGTACATAGAAGACCCTCAATAAATATTTGTGGTATAAAGGAATGAGTCATTTAGTCATGATTATCATTATTGTGGAGTTCCTGGGTGGTTCAACAGCTAACGTGCTCAGCTGCTAACAGGTTGGTGGTTTGGATCCACCCAGAAGTGTCTTGGAAGAAAAGTCTGGCAATCTACTTCTGAAGAATCAGCCACTGAAAACTCCGTGGAGCACAGTTCTACTCTGACAGACATGGGGTCGCCATGAATTGAAATCAATTCAAGGGCAACCAGTTACTGTTATTTTAATTGATGAACTATTCCGCACTGTCCACTTCTTCAGGCAGACCTAGAGAAGTAATAAAGACTTACCAATGCAATTGAAGGAAACTTCTCTTCGGCAGAAAAGGGAGCAACCATCACCATTGAGCTTATTCTTGTCATCGCATTCTTCACCTTTTTCTCTGCAGATTGGATACAAAAGAAAAATTTGTCAGATCTGTTTCAAAACCATAGCCGGACCTGGAAAAGTCCCTCACTGTGCCAGGAACCTTCCCTGAGACCTGGGGCAAATCCCTTTCCCTGTCTGAGTCTCTCTTCCTTCATCTTCAAACTGAGATTCACACAAGGTATAGATTATAAAATACTATTACATTTGCCTTATTTTGTGTTTCTGATGACAAACTAGTTAGACGGGATTAAGGAATGAATGAATAAACAAATAAATTAATGGAACTTGCTCCCCTAATGTCTAGGAAATCTCACTGCCATTTTGGTGTTTCTGATTTTGAAATGGTCCATCTGAAGGCTGTTTTGGAGGTTCTATAATACACTGCTGGCCCTACCCTCCTCCCTGCCTTAACAACCTTTTCCGCCCTCCTCCTACTCCGTCAACACACTTAAAGGTAAGGATTTTCCATCTACGGCCTTAGGTGTAGTCATCTTTTTGTGGGAAAGTTTTGCCTTCTCTGCTGGGTGTGTCATTTCATGGTGTCGAGAACCCCAACGCCTTTGGGACTATGCTGCTAAGAAAGAAAAATGCCCCTTCTTGTTTTTGTTGGGATTATTTCCATCACCTAAGGCTGATTTTGCTGGGGTTGCGATGGGCAGATAATGAGTGATGTGCTCTGCACTGGACCTGGGAGAGAAGGAAGAGTAATAACTGGATGTATTGCTACTTTCTGGAAAATTCTCCTTCTTTCAGAAACAGAAAACCGTGTTCCAAACTAGCTGTGTAATCTTGGGCAAATCCCTTGATCTCTCGTTATCTGAGCTGTCCAATACAGTAACCACTAGCTACACTGGTTATTTAAATTAGAACTAATTAAAGGGAAATATAACTAAAAATTCAGTTCCTCAGTCGCACTTGTCACATTTCAAGTGCTCAGTAGCCACATGTGACTAGTGGCTTACCATATTAGACAGCACAGAACACATTTTCATCATTGCAGAAAAATCCATTGGACAGTGCCATTCTGTATCTTGAGCCTCAATTTTCTCACGTGTTAAAATGGAGATAATTATGTCTACTGCTTAGAGTTAGTGTGAGAATGGAATGTAACTTAAAGTGGCTGGCGCATAGTAGATGCTCAGGGAATCACAGTTTCCATTCCCGCTTTGACCTAGGAGGTCCCCACAGAGTGTGTGGCAGCTATCCCTACTTCCCTGGAGACCAGCTGGTACCTGTCACAGTATTGACGAGGTCTCAGACTTTTCCGTTCACCCAGGCAGTTAGCACACAGAGGAATGTTTGTTGCTTTTAGGAGGTGTCAGAGTAGCAGGATAGTGTCTCCCAATTGGTCCTTAAGATGATTAGGACATTGCACTGAGCTCCAAAGAGCTGTCCAAGTTCTTCCCTGTCTGCAAACCTGTGACCAAAGAAGCCCGTTTTCTAAGTTGGGCCCGGTGAATATTGCAGGCAGGAAATTGGTGATGATCTTGTGCTTTTTAGATATTTCACAGGTTATCTGGAGAAATCCTTTTTTTTTAAACCTAGGCTAGGGTCACCATGAATATCTTCTAGGCATGACCAATCTAATAGTAGATGGGTAGGTTTTGAGAAACCTTCTTTGACCTCCCAGGCTGGAGTGGGTGGCTGTTTTCTCTGTATCCATAGACACTACACACCATCTATCATGGTGCCTGTCGAACTGACTGTCCTTGTCTGTTACTTGGGAGTCCCCCACACCAGGTTGTGAGATGCCACAGGCGGTGACAGAATCTTCATCAGCCTAGCACCCCAGTGCCTGGCCCAGGGCCTGGGACGCTGCAGACACCACACAGCAGCCACTCCTTCCCTGGTTAGTTTTGCAGTCTTGTCAGGTCAAATGGCAAGGCAATGGTGAATCCAGCTGCGAACCTGGACCCTGGGTTCACATCTTGGTTCTACTACTTTCTGGGTGTATAAGCTGAAGAAACACTCTTTAATCTCTCTGTTCATTAGTTATCTTTTCTGTAAAGTATGATAATAAGATCTACCTCATAAGGATGTTGGGAACATTCAAGAAGAAAACAATTTAGCACAGTGCCTCACACAATAGTAGAGGCTCAAGAAATGTTTATTATTATAATAATTATTATTACTGAGTCCTTGGGTGGAGCAAAAGGTCAAGTACTGAACCACTAACCGAAAGTTTTGTGGTCTGAGCCCACCCAGAGGCACCCAGGAAGAAAGGCTTGGCAATCTGCTTCCAAAAGGTCACACAGCCTTGAAAACCCCATGAAGCACAGTTCTACTCTACAACACATGAGGTTACCATGAGTCAAAATTGACTCGATGGCAACGAGTTTGGTTTTCTGTTTTCTTTTGTATCATTATTACAGGATTAACCCAAGTCTCCAGATTCCTCATCAAGTGCTTTTGTCCTTACACTATATATCTACTCCTTAATTATTGGCTATCTCTTTATCTCATTTATGACAATAGTAAAAAGTCTACTCTCTGACTAGTTTGTGCATTAATTATGTATGTCTGGCAGTAACGAATGCTGAGGTGCGAGTTAAGAGTGATGCTGGCTATGATGGAGCAGTTGGGGGCCCAGGAGCAGCTGGGGAGCAGGCAACAGCACAGGCTCGGGCAGCCCGGCTTCCTGCTTTACCACCACAGCATGGTTTTGTGATTTGATGTGATCATCCTCCATTTTCACATAATGCCAATTTTCCCCATAATGACCTGGCTTTTGGAACCGAACCATGTCGATAAGTGACCAGAGGGTATATATGAAACTGGGAGTATCTGCTGTGGTGGGTTATCCATGCTGAGTGCTCATCCATCAGGGGCCTCACTGAGTGCTGAGTGTATCCATATTTCTTCATAAATTCCATTACATATATCATAAATTAGTATGTATCATCCAAAGAAAAATCTTATTACCTAGGAAGACATTTCTCCTTTCCACCAAAGTATTTTTCCCCCTTTAGAGAATTGTCCATAATTTACATTCAGTTTTCTACAAAGTGTGTCAACAAGTATTTGGTACCTACAAGTAACTTAACAGGTATTTGATGTGTATGCAGGATACCAATTTTAGGTAAAAATGCTAAAAAAAGCTCTGTTAAATTAAGAATGCTATTTAAAATTAATAATAATAATAGTAATCATTTTAGATCATTGAGAAGAAAGATATCGTCTGCAGTGTGTTACCAGTGCATGCATATCTGGCTCCAGGATGGACAGGCTGGGTTATAAATCAGGTTCCAAATCTGGTGAGTTTCTTTTTTTAATCTTTGTGCTAAATTAGGAAATACCAGATCACAATTATGGGCTGTCAGAAATGACTGCCAGTGTTTCCTGGATATGCTGGATATTCAGATCAATCTTGGACCCACAAATTACAGGGCACTTTATCCCTAGAGATCCCTGTGCTCAGTTGCTCAATCAGACAATAGCTGCATCAAACAAGAAGTTGATGTTTTAACGTGGGAGCGAACAGCCAAGGGCTCCCTTTCTCTAATTTTTTTGCATTCAGTATTGGAAACAATATCTTCATGTTCTGTTGCTGCATTTGGATGTGGATTTTAAACACACACAACAGTACATCATTGGTTTCATTCTCTGACAAGTGAGGATCTTTATCTTCTATGCTTGAAGAGTAAAATTCTTGGCAATCAGGTAATTTGCACCATAATTCAGTGCTTAAAAATTCTTACATCATATTCTCAATATTAAAATCTTGACAATTCAGCTTTGAAATTACAGGTGCAGGATATTTAAAACATGAATATATATCCCTGAGATACACCACTTGAGTAGGCCACTTGAAATCATGAAAATAATCATTACTGGCTTTATTAATGTCAACATTTAAAAAAAAATGTCATTCTTTATTTCAAAAACTTGCATTAGTATCTTTCCCTAACAGCCAGCATACTGTAGGATGGGGGAGCAGAGCGTTGCACACACTGCTAATCTTTTTGCACAGCAAGTTGGCAAGAGGTAGCTTACTGGCCCTCCTCTGATCATAGTTGCAACATTCGATATTTCTGTCAATGTTAAGTCATGATCAGAAAACATACTGCTGGCCAATCACTGATACACGTGTGGATGGGTATTCACGTGCAAACTGCACTTAAACTATGGCATCATCTTTGCTGTATCTCCAGATGGACCTTTGATCTCAAAGCAGAGGTTTCCAGTCTACATCACAGCCCACAAAATTATCAGCAATAAATCAAATTGCTTTTCTCCTGTAGCATTAGCCTCACTGACAAACAGAAACAAGTCATCAAGTACTTCTCCTTCATACACGTACTGTTCCTGTGAGCTGATTATGTTCTGCACATCAGTGGTTTTGTCCAATTGTGAAGCAAATTCTCTGTTTACACTCCCTCCCCCCAAAGAAAGGGTAATTGCAATTCCATATTGCACAGATATTATGTGACACCCAACAGTGCCATTTAATGAAGGAATTTTGCCAAGAGCTTGTTTTCTGATCTCCACACAGAATGGGAAGTCTGTTGATAGTTTTACAAGTCTCTTAGCAATAGTGTGACTTGCAACTACTTTGGCCATAAGAAACTTAATTTTGAATAGTGTTACTAAGGTTTTTGGTCTTTTCTTCACATCTTAGGACAAACTACTCAATTTTGTTCCAGAAAGCATTTTTGTGCTTATTCTGAAAGAAAAATCTTAAAGGTTTCCTTTTTTTTTGTTTTTTGGCAATGCAGAAGTTTTTATGGCTTCTTGCCCCCATTTGTTAGTTGCCTAACATCTTGCCCTGAGGACAATGGGATGAATGAACTGATAATCCAATAAAATCCATTTTTTAGACATGCATGCTTATATTTTCTAATCGTACTCTTCCTTTTTGGCTGCTTGTGTGGAATCTTTACACTTACTGATTCATTTGCCTCAGTGTACTCATATGCACATTCAATATTCACTCTGGAGTACTGTTTACTATTTATAGTTTCAACATTATAGTGAGTTAGAGTACTTACACTGTTATTTATATTGAGCTTTTGACCCATTTTGTAAATTGGTGATATATAACAGAAATAAAAATATATATATTCAGTTTTAACAAATGTAAATGGTAACCAGCAACGCATTTTATAAGTGTTTTGACTCAGTTGAACTCTGTTCTGTTATCTGACTGATGGTTGGGACAGAAAGGACAAATAACACACATAAAACAAAACAACTAAGAACTAGAACATAATGATAATAAGAGCATAATGGTAGCTCTATCTAAATCATATATTGTATTACATACTTGAGAAGTGTATTAAAAAAAAAAAAGAAAGGAATCATTGCTTTTCTTCTGAGGCCAGCAAAACATCTGTAGACAAATTGGTTGACTATTGGGGATCACTGGTAGCTCACAGCTCACACTTGGAAGAGAATCACTTAATCTCTTCTACTCAGCATCCTGGCCATCACTTGACCTAACTAGCATCACTCTATTTTCTTTAGTTAAATCTACTTACTTCTGGATAATTCCATCACCACAGTATCCACCTCCATGGATGTATAGGGCAGCAGGTGATGGCTCACTCTCTTCAGTTCCCGAAATGGTGATGATTCGGTACTGGTACTTACTGCCAAGAGTTAGATCCCTGGGAAACACAAAAAATACTATTAGCTATACAAACACAACACTGGGGGCATAAGAGGAGGGAGAGGATGGAGAACTGATCCCCTTGAGTATATTCTTTCAGTCTTGCTCCATTTTGAAATCCCATGAGCACACAGTTAACCAATAATCTTTATCATCCAGTGTGGATAAGGCACTCTGCTAAGCGTGATGGCCCACACTAAAAAGTATACCAGTAAAAACTAGCATTAATTGACTGCTAACCATGCACATTGCTAGCTACTTTTCTTCTTAATTTAACCCTTGCAATAACCACAATGGATAAGTATCAGATGGTATGTGGCCCATAATGAAGGAAGGGGTTTGGGACAAAACCATTCAGGAAAAATAAATGGTATAAGCAAAGGCACAGAGCGAGGAAAGCACCATATCAGACTCTCTGGGCTTTATCTGATATTTTCCTTTCATTTTAAGACCTAAGGACAAACCATATTCCACATAAGCAAGCCCTTTCCTTACCCTGTACATACAGTGATCTCCTCACTCCCTGCCACTTGCTCTTCCCTATGTCTCTCACTCTTGAATAAAGTAATAACAATAATAACATCCATTAACTGTAGGCACAGTGAATGTCAGGCTCTGGGCTAAGCACTTTACATGCACTTTTTCACTTGAGAATAAAAACAACCCTATAAGGATAGCAGTATTTTCGTGTTTATTTTACAGAGGATCAATCTGAGACATAGAGAGGTTAAGCAACTTGTTTACAATCATATGCTACTAAATAATATACTATATTCTGCTTCCTTATTTCTTATCTTAAAAGGAGTCCCTGGGTGGTGCAAACAGTTAAGTGCTCAACTACTAGGCGAAAGGTTGGTGGTTTGAGCCCACCCAGAGACACCTCAGAAGTGATCTGCTTCTGAAAGATCACAGCCCTGAAAACACTATGGAGTAGTTCTACTCTGCACACATGGGGTTGCCATGAGTCAGAATCGACTTGACTGCAACTAACAACAGCAACAACATTCCTTACCTGAGACATCTGTCTCAATAACCTCATCTCTTGCAAAGCACAGTCTTGTCTTCTCTGTACTCAAGACCTTCTAGTACAATGCCTGATCTGACTTCCTAATACCCAACCTTACCCAGGGTTACTCTCCTCCCGTTAGTTAGTCCCTTTCCACTACCTGCATGACCTCACCCTGCCACCAAGCGAACCTGGCTACTGTCAACCATCCTCCAAGCTAAAGATATGTTTATGTCAATTCCACATGGCCAAATCATCACCTTCTTTTCATTTTTGATCATTTTCAAAGAGAGGGATTAGTCCTCTTTCATCTCCCCCACATCAATTATTTATTTTGTAATAATAAAAAGCCATGGGAAAAAAAACACAAAATGATAATGAAGAGAATTCCTATCAGATTCCAAAGTTGGGGGGGATTTCATAAACAAAAGGACGATGTAAAAAAAAATCTCAAGTTCTCTTGCCCATTTGTTATTTCAGCTGCTGTGAGGGCTAGGGCTGTTTGGATAAAGCCCACAAGATAACAGGTGCAGGGGCAATGGACAGAGACTGTCTCCTGGCTCTCAATACAATGATGAGTTGGAGTTTATGGGCACTGACGGACTCTGGTGAGGAGCATAGCCTTCCTGAGAATGTCGGGGTTATCACCCCAAAGGGAGTTTGTTTTAGCAGCACTGGAGCAGCTAGTAAGATTGTAGGTAGACCAGAAGTCCTTGGGGATTCTTTTAGTGTTCTCTGTTAACGAAGACTAAGTAGGTGAATAATGCATAAAGATCTTGAGATATTGCATGTATGCATAATAACTACCCTGTAAACTTCTGGAATGCCAATTTGTTATTAGGCTTTTTTTTTTCTTCTTCTTTTTTTAGCTTATTGACTATTTCATCCAACTCTTGATTAATGGATGTATACTTTTTTCTGGCAGTGTTTCTAAAATTGGAATATTTTGGGTGGGGAGTGGTTTTCCCAGGGGGTATATGTAGGCACGAGATAAACATGACATGCAGTCTATTGTCCATTCATTTTGCTCTAAAATATAGGAACTTGTTTTATATTAAACAAATATGACCATGCTATGGAACAAAATGTGAACTTTGCTTCAGGCTACTTCCCAGGCCACTGGGGGTATATGGTCACCGTCAGAAGCATATGGGTCACTTCTGTGGAGAAGGTGAGAGCGTAAAGAGTAATTTCTCTACATTGTGCTTTTCATTTATGGTGCGTGTCACAAATGATTTATGCTTGATAATATTTAAGGCGCTCTGTTAATATTTGTGAATGCTTTTCTCCTCCCTCTGCTTTGCTCTTCCTCCTCCCTCTCTTCCTCTCCGCCTCCTCCTTCTTCTCAATAAACGCCAACTTTGGGGCAAGCAAATATGTGCTTCAGTCCTGGCTTCATTGCTTACTGGCTAGGAACTCATAGGCAGGTGCCTTACCTCTCTGAACTATTTCAGGTCAGTCATAAATCTGGCTTCCCAGCATTTTCCTGCAGATCGATATGAGAAAATGTATAAAGCACCTAAGTGCCCAATTTATGATAAACAGTTAATAAATGTCAGTCCATTACTGTTAATACTTAATTATCAACAATCTCATTCACTAGAGTTAGGCTCTGTTCTTTATAACAAAAGGCGTGGAGTGACAGATAACTACATGTAACCTTGGTTAAGTAAACCAGTGAGGAAGAAGGGGTCACCATCCATCACGTGTGGCATGGCTTGATGGAAAGTCTCCTTTCTACCCCATCATTTGGCTAGAACACCTCAGTGCCTTCAGCTTGCTCTCTTCCCATTGCAACTTCTAAAAATTCTGGATCCCAGAAAGTTTGTCTTTACCCTGGGGCACAATCTGGCTGCCAGTAACTTCTGCACACTGATCTTCCTTCTAACCACCAGCATCACATAGAACACATCTGATTGGTAGAAAAACTTAATAACTCTCCTTCCACGTCTTTGTGCATGGCTCATGTATCATTATCTCACAGAAGCCTGACAATAGCTCTGTGCAGTGGAGAGAGGAAAATGAGTGCAATGGCTACTATAAAGATTATGTCTTTCCACTGAAGAATTCCTGTAATACAACTACATTTTCTCCAGGTTAAAGGAAAAATTAATACTAAGCGTTGGTACTTTTCTCAAGAACTGCGGTAGAATAGAATCTTTCATAAGGGTGAGCTAGTGGCTTTGGGGAGGCTTTGCCGAAGGTAAGGACCTATTTCATGGTTGGTCTAAAAGTAGGGCATTCATGTTAAGTTGTTCCTTTCAGCTGCTCCTAAAACCATCTGGGAAGTCTTACTCTATCATTCGACCTCCTTCCCCTTCTGCGCCTCCAACATACAGGCAGAGCCTAAGCCCTGTCAGGTCCTCACCCAATGGCTTCCATGGCATCCCCTCTGCAACCTTGCTGCCACCACCATCTCAGCCTGGATGGGTGACATGGCCTCTGGTTTGTCCTCGTGGTCTAGTATCTCCCTTTTTCAGTCTTGCCAATACCATCAGAATACTCTTAGGTCCAACATCACTCTCCAGCTCAGAATCTTCTCATTTAGAGCAGTGATGGGAGCATGTTACCAAACCAAAACTTCCCATTTACTCTTGTTTGGAACTACAATTTTAACATTTCCTCTGAAACGTGGTTGTTTTACCCAATTCTGATTTCTTTCATAGAATTTTGAATATTACTTTAAATTAAAAAAAAAACTAAGCACTTTTAATATTTAATCACCAATTCTTCCAACTGCATACCAGATTAATTTTACCTTTCTAGCTATTAAAATGTAAACTTCAGTGTGCAAATGTGATGGGATTGTTTGGCCAGATTTGAAGGGTAGATTTGTGCATCCCTTGAATGTCTTTTCTTTCTTTGAACTTTTCCAACTTTTAGCCATCATTTTCCACAAATGTCTCAAATGACATGTCTGCCTCAGGTTTGCATTTCTGGCAATTAGAAACAAAAATGTTGACATTTTAAATTGATATGATTTCTCTGTATTTCTTCTCAGAAATTTTATATTGATGATAAATGTACATCAAATCTGAAGCACAGTCTTATGCTAAAATATAATTACCCACTACTATCAAGCCCATTCTGACACATAGCAACCCCAACCCCGTAAGACAGAGTGGAACTGCCTCATAGGGTTTCCAAGGCAGTTATCTTTATGGAAGCAGACTGCCACATTTTTCTCCCACAGAGTGGCTGATGCATTCGAACCTTTGACCTTTCTGTTAGCAGCCAAGCACTTAACCACTTCACCACCAGGGCTCCTTAGAATGTAGTTACATCTTATAAAATCATTATCTGAAGGATACTAATATACTTATAAGGAAGCTAAACACCCCATGACTTAGTTTTTTGCAAAAATACTCATTTCTTAAAGTGTTGATATGAAGTTAGTATCATAATAGGTCAATTAAAATCTATCTGAAATCTGTAGGCAAGTCACTTTATTTTTCTTTGGCTCTCAGTTTTCCTATCTTTTAATTAGGATGTATGATTCTTGCCCTAGACTCATATGAACATAAAATGAGAAATATGAAATCACTTTAGGAAGAACAAGGTAGAAAGACCTTTAACTCAGTGCAAAGATCACACTTTGCTTCCTACAGGAAACTCTCACTGAGCCCCTTGGTTATTCCTTATTGATCTTCTATTGTCTCCGTGTCATAATAATCATTTATCATGCCCTATAGTTTGTTATACCTTTTTGAAATCCCATCTTCTAGAACAATAATAGCAATCATAGTTTCCATTTGCTGTTTGTTATTTATCATATGCCAGGTACTACGCCTAGCTCCTTGTACGTATAATCTCATCAAATCAAAGCAACAGTCCCTTGGATAATTATTATTACTATCCCCCTTTTCAGAGAACAAAACTAAAACTTAGGAAGGCTAATCTCTCTGCCCATAGTCACACCATTTTTGGTCATGAGGTAGGGGCTCGAACCAGGTCTAAGTCCATCCTAAGTCAGTGTTTTCCAGAGGTGGAAG